AGGGCCACAAAGGGTTAAAGGCTTGCATGGCACCATCTATGGAGCAGAGGCATCCAGAGAAGACTTGGTCAGGAAGCAGTAGAAAAGGGCCCCCCTCCTTTGGGACAAACTGAGACACTCTCTGGGATCTGTGAGGCATGGTCAGAGGATGGGAGGCGCATGCTACAGGATGGCTGTGCCCCACAAAATGCTAGCCTTCATCCTCACAGGAGAGGTCACCCCTCTTCACAGGTGAACACAATCACGATTAGTAAGAATTTAACTCAGCTACTAAGCGACAGAGAGCAACTTCAAACAGGCTCCCAGAACTCTGGAATTAACCCCGAGGTGTGAACAGCAGTGTAAGTGAAGAAGATTGAGGAAAGAACCTCCTCATTGGTACCAGAGTGGGAGGCTCAGCCAACTCTAGGCCATTGGGCACATTTTAACTCATCCCTTCCGGCCCCTAGCGACCCCTTGACACCTAAAATTCTCTTGTGATCTACGATCTGGAAACAGCAGCTGCCCCAAAAAATGTCAGTTTCCTTCCATCAGAAATGGGCTCACATTAGCCAGCAAGATGGCTCAGCAGGTAAAGAAGGGCACTTGCCACCAAAACTGACGACCCTAGTTCTACCCCGGGGGACCCACACAGTGGATGGATAGATTCTCACAAGTTGTCACTTGGACTTCCGTCCATAATAGAATGTGCACAGGGCCCCCAGCCCAACTCAAATAAATAAAACAACGTAAACATTTTAGGGGTTCCCCACGGGCCAGGCGGCTTGGACTGGGCCGTCGACGTCCGTGGCTCCCGGCTCTCCAGCCCCTCACCCAAGCAAGGGTTCCTTGTAAAGAGCTTGCGGAAGGCTTCGCACTCTTCCAGCCGGTTTCCGCTGTCCCCACAGCCGCACCAGGGCGCGATGCGCGCGCTCACGTTGTCCAGGTAGTTGGGGGTGATCGCCGTGCCTGTAGGGACCCCAGGGCGCGGTGATGGGCTCCCCGAGTCCGCCGCCCCCCCGCCGGGGCCCACCAGGCCCTACCTATGAGGCCCGCATAGGCGAGGCGACAACGCGGACCCCGCTCCTTCGGGCAGCTGTCGCGGGAGCCGGGCACAGGAGCGCACGAGGCCTGGAAGACAAGGAGACGAGGCCTGCGCGCGCCCGGACGGCCATGAGCGGCCCAGCCCGTCCCGCACGCACCTGCACAGGCGGCTACGCTCGCAGCGATCCCGGACCTGCAGGCACGAGGGCGGCGCCGGCCCGGGGCCCGAGAACGCGCAGGACGGAGCGAAAGTTTGGCGGCGACGCTCGGCGCACGCCGGGCTCTCGCACTGGCAAAAGAGCAGCGCATGCGTGAGCGCCGGAGGCCCGCGGGCGAAGAAGCGGCGCAGAGCGCGGCGGCAGCGGGAGCGCACGCAGCCCCCGGGTCCGCTCCAGTCCTCGGGCGCCGCCTGGCCCAGGCATCGTGCCACATACTCCGAGCGCAGCTGCTGGCACTGCGCGTCTGCTGTGCACGCCTCGGCCGCGGCCACGCAGCGATTCCCGCCGGTGGAGCTCGCAGACCCTGGTGAGGGACAGGCAGGCTGCTCCCCATTCCGCACTACGGAATTTGGGGGTGCCCAAACCCAAGGGCACCATAGGTGTGACTGGGCTTCATCCTGAGGAAGAGGTATGAGCGGGTCCTAGGGATATCTATCCATGTTGTGGATGCAACACTAGGAGGCTGGGCCTGACCTTTCCCCAGAATCTGAGGTCCAGCATCCTCCACCATCTCCAGAACCGCTGCACGCTTCCACAGAAGTTCTATTGGGCTCCTTCCATCCTCCCCAGCTCCACCGGGCAGGACACTGAGGCCAACTGATTCAGCTACTGGATACTGGAAATGGCACCCCTCATCCTCCTTTAGACACACTAACGTTCTCTTCTCTGACACATGGAAACCCCTTGGGTGGATCTATAGATTTCTGTTCCTCCTATCCTGACCTTTACTTCCTGCCCCTGTACCAGGTGCTTCTTCGTGGGTCTGAGTCTAACCTATCCTGCTCCACTGAACCCTGGTTCTAGACCAGCAAAGGGGGTTCTGGGCATCGGATTCACTGGAAGGGTACTGCAGGTTGAGCACATTCAGGCCCTGGCATCCAGATGTGGATTCAGACAGATGGCAGGCCGTAGTCCTTCTTCCTAAGAACAGACCTGGACATTCGTCAGTAGTTTCAGTGAAGTTACAGGTAAGTGACAGATGCCAACCCACTCGGGGAAAAGAGAACACTTAATCCTTCATGTCAGAAGCTAGTAGACCTGGCAGCTGTGTCCAGACTTTCCACTGAACACATCTAAATCCGGACAAACCAGGAGGTCTGCAAACACTAAGAACCGAGTCTCCAAACTCAGGCTTGGCACCCCAGGCTCTAAAACTGTCCAGCCTGGCCTCTCACCCATCATCCTTAAAGGTGCTCCGCTCCACATGGACTCAAAGTCATTGTGGAACCCCCCGGAGCGAGAGCTCTGACGACCATATAAGGCGGGGAGGAAAGGAAAAGGAAAGTTCCTGGGGCACAGGTATCAAGGCCAGACTTGGGACTGGTGGCTCAGCGGAACCGAAAGCTGGGGTTCCAGGCATTGCACAGCAGGGGCAGAGTATTAGGGGCCCCTGGCCACAGAGCACAAGCCATTTTTGAACGTCCCTTCCAGCGTTCCAGCTCTCCCATTAGTCACCCTCATGCAATCCCACCTTGTCCCTGAGGATCGGTGCCAGAGATGGCAGGGGCCAAGACCAAGGAGGAGACAGCCTCTCACCCAGCAGCTGCAGCAGCAGTAGCAGCAGGGCAGACTCCAAGCAGCAGGCCATAATGATTGGCAGAGCCCCCGCTGGACAGGTGGTGCCGCCTTTCTAGAACCTCCTAATCCTAGAGGGCAGCGGGCACCCTGGCGTCTGGATCCACAGGAGTGCCCTGGGCTTTTGAGAGGAAACCACACCTGCTCTTCTCACGTTGTCCCCACCCCCAGGCCCTACCTTCAGGCGGATCGAAATGGTCCCAGAGCACTGGATTGCCTGTTGTACACAAGCAGTTGGCTCCTAATAGGAGCAGACCCTACTACTGGGAGAGGGGAGTCTTCGTGAAACTCAAAAGTTAAACAAGATTTAAACCTCACAGGTCCCGGAAAGCTGGAATGTGTGACAAGACGGTGTGTGACTAATGGGAACGTGGGAAGGGACGTTCAAAAACGGCGTGTGCTCTGTGGCCAGGGACCCCTAACACTCTGCCCCTGCTGTGCGATGCCTGGAACCCCTGCTTTAGGTTCAGCGGGGCCGCCCCTCCCAAGTCTAGCCTTGGTACCTGCACCCCTTCTGGAGGTTGTAGAAGCACCTGTGGAAGGGAGACACCCCTGACAGGCAGGGCTATCTGCCGGCCATGCTGAGAGCTCTAAAAGTCACCACCCATGTACCGGTGGGTGTTTTGGTGGCACCGGTGCCCCTGTAAGCAGTCCATCGCCATAGGATTTTAAGTAATCCCGATAAACTCATGTATTTGCCAAGCTGGACTTTTGTAGAGTCATTCTTTGACCCATGGTCAGATCCCTGTCTGGGAGGAGTGGGCACTTGAGTTGCACCTCCCCAAGAAGCCTCACACCCCCACACCCCCATATACCCCTATACACCCCCTCACACCCCTAGACACACTTGGCAACACTCAGCAACTCCAGGAGACCTGTTTCTCCATGCTGATCCAGTAACTTTAGGAAATCAGTTGTTCTTTTTCTTTCACTCACTGGTTTTACACATACGGAAATGTTGTAAAGATGTTGATTCCCCCCCCCACCCCGCCCAGATTCTAAACCCAGCTCTCTGGTGTGGTCATGTCCCGGGAGCAGCACTGGAGAATTAATACCGGTGCAACGCTGTGAATTAAACTACAGACCATTCATATTCTCCAGATTCCCACGCATGGCCCTTTCCTGTTCCACGACCGGGGCAAGGTGAGATACACCTGTAAACCTAGCACTTGGAAGCAGCACTTGGGGAGGTAGAGGCAGAAGGATCAGGAGCTTGAGGCCAGCCTGGGCTACACTGAGATCTTGTTCTCAAAAATCAAAGGTGGCAAGATGGCTCATCGAGCAGACTCCTGCCCCCAAATCTGATCCCCTGAGTTCAGTCTGGACCCATATGGCAGAAGTGAACCAACTCCCTAGAGTCCTCTGACGAGGAATGCTCCCCCGCCACACACATACAATCAGTAAAATTGGGGGAGAATTATGTCAGGATCCCACACTGTATTTGCCAAGTCTCCTCCCAAATGAGGCAGTCTTTCAATATTTTTAAATCTCTATTCTTTCTTTAAACAATTGTGTGTGTGTGTGTGTGTGTGTGTGTGTATGCATGCATGCATGCATGTGAGCCCAACGTCATTGTCAGGAGCTGTCTCAGCTAGAATGGCCAGCAAGCCCCGGGAGTCCTCCTGTCTTCATCCGCCCATGAGATTGATGCACTCAACTTGTTACAGAATTGCTGTGGGCTTAACTTGGGTTCTCACATTTGTGTGCGGCTTGACCAATTGAATCATCTCACCGGGCCCTCTGTAACAGGACTCTTGGTTTATTGTGTGGGACTGGTAAAGAATTGAAGGTCCAGGGAAAACAGACGGTGTGGAGATGGCAAAAGTTTATGGAGCTAGCCTCAGGATGGGAAGAAGCTGAGAGTGGGGAGTCTGCCTGGGGTTCGGCGTGGAGCATCTTGTAAGGTTCCCAGTCCTATTTCCCTCGCCTTCTCACCAGGTCCTCCCTCCCACCATTCCCACAAGAAAGGAAGCAGCCATTGTAGGAAGCCCGGCCCAGTTTCCCTGTATATTTTCACTCTCCTTTGCCTATCCAACCTTGCTAAGAGTTCTGGCTAGATGGCTTCTGGACCCTTCCTACTGAGTGACTCTTATCTTTTCTTCTGGTCAGATTGAGACACAGCAGTGTTTAAAAAAAAAAAAAAAAGATTTTATTTTTATTTTGTGTTGTGTGTATGCTACCTGAGGCCAGAAGAGGGCACCAGATCCCCTAGAGATGGGGGTTGTGGACAGCCGATTTGGCTGCTGGGATCTGAACTCCAGGCAACTGACTTGGTTGCTGGGATCCAAACTCTGGGCCTCTGGAAGAACTCTGCAGGTGCGGAGGGGCCAGGGCAGGGCAGGGCAGAGCAGAGCTTGCCAGCTTCTGGAAAGCCCAGGGTAGAATTGCCTCCGTGCACTGACCTGGGACCAGGCTTCGGGCTGGCAGTGCACCCAGTCAAGGAGGGCTGCATGCTGAGCAGCAGCCAGCCAGCCCAGTCTGGAGTCAAGATATGTTGGCGTCCTGCCAGGCAGAGGATTGTGGTTAGAAAAAAATGTTCACCATGTATTTTATTCCATTTAATAAAACCTAAGATAGCCGTTTGCATTGCTATACAGCATTGAGCCTAAAGGTGATTTTTCTTTCACAGTGACATCATTATGACCCAAGAAAGACAGGGTGACAGTGTTCCATATGAGCTTGCTGAGCAGCAAAACAAAAAAACAAACAAACAAACAAAAAACCTGCCCCAGAGATGCTGCAGTGCACTGTGGGACACACTGTTTACAGAAGGGGCTAGAAGTTTGTGTTTGCAGCTTCCCAAGCTAGTCCCTGTAGCACAGACCACCCACCCACAATCAACACAAGAAATAGCACGACTGTGTTCCAGCAAAATTCTATTTAAGAACACTAAAGTTTACGCCAATTTTCACATTCGTGGTTTTCTGTTTTTAAAGCTATTTAAAATCTAAATACAATTCTTAAAGAAGAGGCCTAGAAAAAGCAAGTGGCCTGGACTTGGTCTCTCCAACCCAGCTGGCTCTTTCCTGGGCAAAGGAAGCGAGTAGGCTGGGCTTAGCCCGCTCACCACGGTTGGTTCTTTCCCAAGCAGGCCTTTAGCTGTTGTGTGCCATGATGGAATTTTATAAAAACATCTCCTTCGTTCAAGAGAGACTGAGCTTTGCTGGACCTCACAGCAAGCCAATATACCATGAGACCACTTAGGACCTAACCTGCTGTCCTGCACCTGCTTGCGTTCCTTCATTTTCTTCACACCAAGTCATCTTTGTTTGTTTTTGTTTTTCAAGACAGGGTGTACACAATCCTGGCCACCCTGGAACTTGCTTTGTAGACCAGGCTATCCTCAACTCACAGAGATCCTCCTGCCTCTGCCTCCAGAGTGCTGGGATCAAAGGCATGTGCCACCACCACCTGGCTGCACTGAGTCTTTTAATGAGTGTGAGGTCAGACCACCATTGTTGAAAAGAACAGTTACCACCTTCATTAGAAAAGATTCAAGTGCACACTCACTTCCCACTGGTGCGCTTGCCTTTCGGGGTGCACCCTCTTGACCCAGGGGCGCAGTTTATCTCATTGAGGCACTTGTCTGGGTGTCCTTTGTGTGATACTGAGAATATTTCTAACAGGCTAGGGATCAAACCCAGGACTTTGTGTACACTAGGCAAGCACATTCCCAGTTCAGCTCATGCTTCAACTTTTTCTATTTCAGGTTTATTTTCTTTTTAACTGTGCACCCCACATGTGTGTGTGGGGATGCCTATGGAAGCCAGAGGTATTGGATCTCCTGAAGCTGGAGTTACGAGTGATTGTGAACCATCTGATATGTTTGCCAAGAGTTGAACCCTGGTCCTCTGGAAGAGGAATATGTGCTCTTAACAGCCATCTCTCCATTTCCTCATGCTTCGATGTCTTTAACCCTTTTGTAGCCATTCTGTAACCCACATACATGCATACATACACACATACATATATATGATGTACATTATATACACATTATTAGCTAATATTAATAGTTAAAATTGTAATAAAAGCACCTGTATTTGCCAATAGCTAGATATCAGGAGACATCAAGATGGCCTGATGCTGTATTTTGGGCAGTGGGCTGTTTAGACCATACTCATTTGCAGCAGTCTCATAGCTTCTGGAAAGGCAACAGCAAGTCCCCTACGCAGGGGAGAGAGCCTGGCCCTAAAATGAGTTTGAATCCAGATGCTGCTCAGGCCATGCTGTCTATAGCAGCCTTCTCTCACTTGCAGATGCTGACAGACACCTACTGAGTCCCCAGCTAACAGACATCCCGGAGCTAAGATCCCTCATCAGATTGAGGGGTTCCCCTGCCTGTCCCACACCGCCTCAGGTTTATGCCATGAAACCTCCCTATCGTCAGGAAAGAGTAATAGCCCCACTTCTGCCACATTGGTTTTGAGGCTCTGCCATACTGTCTCTGGTGCTGGGCCCCGAACTCTCCTAGGAGCCCCCACCTTGTTGTCCTTCCTGTCTATAACATGGTGTTACTAATTTTGCTTTGGTTTTGTTTATTTGTTTTTTCAAGTCAGAATTTCCCTTTGTATCCTTGGCTTGATTCTTGAACTCGATTTGTACACCAAGCTGACTTGAACTCAGAGATCTGTCTGCCTCTGCCTCCCGAGGGCTGAGATAAAGGTGTGCGCCACCACACCCAGAGGTTGTTACTTACGCTTTTATTTCTCAGTGGATACCTCTGTGTCTCTTTAGAAAATCCCTCAAACTCTTTCAGCGGAGGCAGCCAACAGCACTGATAGAGCTCGTGAATTTATTGCTTAGAAACATCCTGACATTTCAGACAGCACAGCTCTCAGGCCTGGGTAGCTCTGGGGGTCCCGGGAAGACCTTCACATCAGCCCATCAGTAGTACAAGAATTCAGATGCCGGCCGGCGATGCCCTTGGGGCCCCGGTTCCTGGAGTGGCAGTGGTCACCTGTCTGTCTCCTCACCTCAGGAAGTCCCCTTCTCCAGAGACAGGATCTTAGCTTCTGGACTTGTGGGAAGAATGAAACAGCAGAAAGAGGGGTCATTCACTAAGGGCTGGGGCCTGAGGAAAAAAACATGGCTCTCCCTTCCCCGCCCCTAGGGCTTCCAGCATCCTGGTCTCCTTGACAAAGCTTCCCTAGAGGGTTGCATCTCATTTCCTTATTGATATAAACCCATAAATCTGAGTAGTAAGCAACAAGCTGAGAAAGAGGTTGGTGACTGGGCAGTAGGGGCAGAGGGAGGTATCTGGATCCCTCACCTACCTGGGGATCAGGCAGGTATGCGTGGCACAAGCTTCTTAGGGTAGTCCTTATGTAAGTACAGAGTTCTCTGGCTCTGAAAACAATGCAACATTGAAGGGTACAAACACTGTTGGCAAGAGGTGCCTGGGGCTGAGCCCAGGAGTAGTGGGTGCTGAAAAGGGGGATTCTGGTGGCACAGGCCTTTAATATTAGCACTCGGGAGGCAGAGGCAGGCAGATCTTTGTGAGTTCGAGGTCAGCCTGGTCTCCAGGACAGTTAGGGCTGTTATACAGAGAAACCCTGACTTAAGGGGGGGTGGGTGGGAAGGAACAAGGCAGACGGCAAGTTCCACCCCTCACTTCTTTTTCTGTCCTAAGTGCCACACTCACCTAGGGGTGAGGACTCTCCAGTGGTACTGAAGCCAAACTCCGTGGAGTGAACATTGCCCAGCGGGTGATCCCTGCAGGGGCCTTCGATGGTCCTGTGCAGCAGATAAGATCAGGAGGTCAGAGAGTGACCTGAGCAAGGCGAAGGAACTCGCGTCCCCGAAGCGTGGCACACAGTCCCAGCTCTGTAATGTCTGATTTGTCCATGCTCAGGCTTCAGATTCCACCTTCCTGCTCCATTCTTGAAGTGTCCAGACCCGACTCAAGACCTAGGACCTCCAAGGCTGTGGCCATCTTCTCTCTCCGAACCTACTGTTCCTCCCAGGCTGACTCCATTCCAGCCCCCACTCACTCTAGGTTTAGGGCTCGCTTAGGTCCCATCAAGAGCTGAGGTGTGGAGCTGCACCCCTGGGGGCGGGAGCTGTGCTGTCAGGTGCTCCTCCTAGTTAGGTGCTCTGCCACGCTTGACTCCGGAGCCATCTTTGGCTGCTGGTGCCTTTCCCACAAGGCCTTGCTGTTTTGTCGTTTCATTCAGACACTCCCCGCTGCCCTCGAGACCCCGTCCTAAAGGTGGTGCACAGCTGCCACCCCTGTGGTGCCCTTGCCAGCTGCCACGCCACCTTGTTTCTCTGCCTGCAGACCCCCAATCATCACCTGGCCCTTCCGAGGCCTCCTCCCTGCTCCTGGGGCCTGTTGGTGCCATTCCCTGCCTGCAATGCTCTGTGCACATCTCCAGCCCAAATTCTCCCCTTTTCCCTGGTGGGCCTGGAACACTCCCAGATTCGGACTGCCAAACGTGGACATAGTGTGTGGGTCCAGTGAAGAGGCGGCCCTGGGCGGGCCATACGTGTTATCATGTAGCATGCCTGCCTATCAGAGAACTGGGTTTGCAACACCATGGTCTGCGGAGGGCAGGGGCACTGAGTCCTGGCTCAAGAGCAGTCAGCACCATAGCTGGCCAGTGGAAGGGAGTGCAAAGGTGTGCTGGGATTAACGCTGAAGAGCTTAGAGGGGGCCGCAGAGTGATTTGGGCAAAGGATGAGGCAGATGGCTAAAAACTGGAAGCTAGAGAAGTCTTCGGAGACACAGCAGAGCACAGACCATTTAGAATTTGTTTAAAACGAAAACAAACAAACAAAAGGAGTGAAATGAAGGTGAGGCCATAGCCCCTTGGGAGATGCAGAAGAAAGCCAGAGGAGCTGCCATGTGGGCAGAAGCAAAGAGCAGCACCAGTGAGTGCTGGTCAGGGCCGTGACACACGAGGACTTCTTCCCACTGCCTAAGGGCTCTCACTATACCGACAGCTGAAACCAAACTCCAGCCACTTCCCACAGCCCCAGCTCCCTGTAGCTCCCACTCCCCAAAGCCCTGGTGAGTTCTGAAAAGCAGGAGCCACAGGGGGCAGGCTCAGAAAGAGAGACCCAAGCCCTCAGAGGTTGGCGCTGAGCCTACCTGTTGCATACGGGGTCCCTCCTGCAACACCACCAGGGTCTCTGACAGAGTGTTGGCAGCCGATAGTAGCACCAGGCTAGGCCAGCCCCAGGGAGCAGAGGCAACAGGAAGCTGAGGAGCATGGGCAGTGGGAAGGCATCTCGGTCTGTGGAGGACAGGGCTGCTGAGTCCCCGAGCAGGCTTCTAGGTGGTGTCTGCCTGCTCCCACACCACTGGCATACTTGCAGGCTGTGCAGGGCCACTATCCAAGCTACCGCCGAAGCCTGGCTTGTCACAGAAGGGTGGATCCCAGCCTGGAGCACAGTGGCAGTGACGATTGCTATTGCAAACCTAAAAAGAGGATAGAAAAGTCACACCGGATCAAGGACCTCCAGGGTTAACCCGACCCCTTCAGCCACTCACCCCATGGTTGTTGCAGGCAGTCAAACAACGGTCCAACTCCTGGGAGGTAACATTCTGGCAGTGCCTATCCTGGCATACCTATGGGCATTGGTGCCCACTGGGCAATGAGGAGGATACTCTGGCATGGCAGATTCAATGGCCAGGAGGGGTTGAGGAGGCAGGGCTCACCATTTTAGGTCCACAGCGGGTACCTGGCTCCACCAGGCCCAAGTCAAGCTGGTCCAGTTGAGTATCAGGGAGGATAAACACTCCCTGGCAAGCCACCCCATGACCCCCGAGGAGAATTGTGGGATTCATAGTCACTACATGCTGCAGCACAAACGGGGTTTGCTCCCCGCCATGGCACAGCAGCTTCCCACACTGAGCATCCCTGGGGAGGAAATGGAAGGTGGTAACGTGTCTCACGTGCCCTGCCCTATTCTGTAAGGGTAGCCCTGCAGCTGCACACCTCACCTCTGTGCACAAGGAAGGAAGCTGCCCTTGCTGTCCCGGCCACAGTTCCCCTGCGAATTCCCCATGGAGTTCATCTCCTGGAAACAGAACTCAGGGGCAGGCTGGGATCCTGGGGAAGAATGGAGATAGAAGAAGCTGAGCAGTTCGGGCCTCGGTTCCCCGGGTGGAGCTTGCATACAGTAGGAAACTGCTGCTCCCAGAAGCGATCAGGGCATCAGAGCAAGCCTGCGGTCTCACCAGGCCCCCAGAGCTGCTGGCACTGCCGCTCCAGCGTAGGACACCAACCGTCTAGGCAATAGCCGCGGCCCTTGGCGCAGGGTGAGCCATCCAGGAGGTAAATGTCTGCGGGACAATGCGGGGAGGCACCCGTGCAGAACTCAGGGAGGTCGCAGTCACTGGCAGCGGGACGACAAGGCGTGCCTGCCGGCTTTAGCTACACCAGTGACCCATCGAGAAGGGCAAAGAGACAATAGAGAGACTGACATCTTTGCCAGAGCCTGAGGGAGCGTCAAGTGGACCCACCCACCTGGTCAAGCTCAGAAGGACTAGAAGGTACCAGCTTAGGTACCAACAGGTCGCTCCCCAGTGTCCCTATCTCTCACCAGGCACTGAGCACAGCAATCGCCGTGGGCGCATTGCGCCCCCGCACGCAGGGAGCAGTTGTGGGCAACGCAGCAGGAGTCTGAGCACTTCTGGAGTCAGAAACAGAACACGTGGTGATGACGCAGCAAGCCAGACCTGGGAGAGGCTGGGAGCAGGGGTCAACCTTGGACCCCAGGGACCCAGATGCTAATCTAACCTGGTCAGAACCGCAGTCACACTCCTCTCCTGCTTCCACGAAGCCATTGCCGCAGCGGGTGGGCAGCACCAGGAGCCCCGGGCCCGGGGTGTTGGAGAGGCACGCACCACCTCCTTTGCGGAAGAAGATGCGCAGCTGGCGGCGGCTGCAGGCGCTGAAGACGCGCGGGAATGGGTGCCTGTCGGGGGAAGCGGACATCGATGGTGTGTGGACCATCTGGCCTGTGGGAAGCACCTCCTAAGCTCTAGCTGCTATTGCACTCTGGGCCCTGGGCTTAGCCACACAGCGGACAAGATGTGCGGTTACCTCCTGAGCTAAGCAAGTAGTCTAGAGAGGAGAGGTCCAGAGAGGAGAGGTTTAGAGAAAGGAAAGGACTCGCGTAATCACACAAGAAACCTGTGACACGGGAGGCTGACACTCAGGAGGCTGTGTGTCAAGATCTGGCCGCCCAAGCCCTAAGGGGACCAAAGATCAGGAGTGGAGTACCCTAGTCCTAGTCCGAATGTCATGCTGAGACTTCTTAGCATTTCTCCCACTAAGGCCCCATAAATAGGCTGTTATCACCCTCACTTTACAGAAGAGGGAACTGAGGGGTAACCAAAGAAACGCAGGTGCCGCATCCAGGTCCGGGGGCACGACCTTCTGTGCGTACCCTGTGGCTGCCTCCATGACGCAGCCTCCCTGCTCTGCATCTGCTTCCATGCAGCAACCGTCGGGGTCATGGCGGAGGCCCAGGCTGTGGCCTATCTCGTGGGCCATGGTGGCTGCTGTGCCGATGGGGAGTTCCGAGTGGTCCTGGAGAGCCGGGCTTCGCTGATGACCACAAGCCCTGCCTAAGCCCCTCCCCTCCGAGGTCCCCCGTGGAGCTTACTGTGCTCACACCTCCGGAGCTCTCTGCGCTGCACATGCCCTCCACGGGCGCCAGGCCCACCGTGGTGCCCTGGAAGGTGCGGCCCCTGGGGTGGCAGAGCAGGGCATGACTGGGTGGAACTGGGAGTAAGGGCCACCCCGCAACCCGCGTGTGTCAAAAGGACACCCACGTGAGCAGTTGCGTGGAGTCGTGTGGACGCCTAGACCACAGCCCACGACGCCACTGCAGGAAAGCCCAGAGGGTTGCGTTGGCGTCCTGCGTGATGCGGCTGCGATCCTGTTCCGTCCACACTTCCAGGCCGGTCAGTACCACCTGAATATCCAGAGACCTGAGAATCTGAGGAAGGGACCATTTGAGGCCAGAATTAGCCACCCACTGTGCCTAGCCAGAGCTTCTCAAATAACACATTCTCACCCCGTCAGCACCCTAACCACCCAACCTGGTCCACGCAATTGGCAACTTCCAGGAGGCGCTGTCTTGTGTGATTCAGGTTCTGATGCTGTACTAAGAACTGCGAAGGCAGAAATCCCTGGGTCATAAGGGGTTGAGCAGGCTCTGACTCAGCCCAGTCAGACCTCTTAGGTCTCATCTCACCAGGGTGTGGTCAGCCACTATGTACAGTTCCAGGTACCTGGGGCTCCTGCGGACCTCTCGCCTCACCTGGGAAGGGCAAATGGTGAGGGTCAGGCTGCTTGCCTTGAGTCCTGGCCACCAGCCACATTTCTTAGAAAGAACAGTTAAAACTTTCATTCAAACTTTATTCTTCAGCCTCCGGATTAAACCTGGGACACCCCAACCAGGATCTGCATTCCTGTCTCTTCTTGTCTGAAGGATCATGCCCACTCTAGTCTGTGCCTCTTACCCTGCTCTGGAGGACATGAGGAAGCCTGGCCATTCCTGCTTTGTATTTGGAGTTCTCTCTCCAGGTGAACAATTGCTCCATTCGGAAGATCTTGTGGGTTGAGAAGTCCCTGTTGTCCCCAGAAACCCAGGGGTGCAGATAGTAGCTGATATTGCGGCTGAGAACAATCAGGCCACTAGAGTGCAGAAAAATGCAGGCGTGTGTGAGAACGAGCTCTCACCTCTGCACCAGCTCCAGGCCCTTTCCCCTAACTCCTTACCTCATCCCAGAGCAGGTGCTGAGAACTACCCAGGATTCCAGGAAGCCCCTCACACGCCCACGGTAGTGGCAATGATCCTAGAGAGAAAGGAACTCAAACCCCAATCTCAGTGGGGTCTCAAGATGGAGGGGTAAGGAGGAAGGCAGGCTTGCAGGTTGGCTGCAGTCTCCTTAGGAATGCAGAAAGGGATAGGGTAAGCATTTGGGGGGGTGCATTCCCAGTATCCCTCACGCTGTCCTCAGAGTCCATGAAAGAATCTCACCGTGTGGTTGGGGAACAGGACCACGGGCTGCCCATCTGGGCTGTAGTGGGTTTCTGTGTATCCTGGGGCCAGGAGCCTGCTGGGAAACAGGTATGTTTTAGGAATCACTGAATTTAAATCGTCTCCTGCAGCTTGCCTTCGGGCATTCCTTCTGGAGTGCTACCTGAGCTGCCCTGAATGATGCCTGCAGTGTGTCAGAGAGAAAGGACTGGGAAGGCTGCACACTGTTCTAGAAGGGAAGCCTCAGAATAAAAGAAGACAAAGGCCTGGGGTGAGCCCTGGGCGGCTTAGACATGGGGATGGGAATATGGGGAACCCCTGGAAGGAGCAGGCAGGGGCCTTTGGTGCTGTGGAGCCTGCAGCAGGTAGATGAGGAAGGAGTCAGAAGACACTATAGCAGAGATGCCCCGTGGGGCCAGGGCCATGAGCTCTGCATACTCCTGCCCTGCTGGGCATCTGTTGGGGAGATCCCAGGCCCTGCAGTTCTTCTCAGACTGCTGGATCCCTGTGTTCATCTGACCCTCACTGGTACTTATCCCCAACTTCCAGAAAAACAAAGTCCCACCTGCCGGCATCTTCTCCTATTGCGTCCACCTGGGCAAGGATCCCTTTACTTGGAGCTCGACTCTACTTAATAAAGACTCCATCTTCAGGCTCCTTCCCTCCCCTGACCCTACCAAATAACAACTTTCTTCTTCTTCTTCTTCTTCTTCTTCTTCTTCTTCTTCTTCTTCTTCTTCTTCTTCTTCTTCTTCTTCTTCTTCTTCTTCTTCTTCTTCCTCTTCCTCTCCACCTCCTCCTCTTCCTTCTTCTCCTCCTCCTTCTTTTCCTCCTCTTTCTCTTCCCCCTCTCCCTCCTCCCTCTCTTCTTTATATTTTGAGACAGGGTTTTGCTAAATTGCCTAGGCCAGTCTTTTTTTTTTTTTTTTTTTCGAGACAGGGTTTCTCCGTAGCTTTTGGTTCCTGTCCTGGAACTAGCTCTTGTAGTCCAGGCTGGCCTCAAACTCACAGAGATCTGCCTGCCTCTGCCTCCCGGGTGCTCCACCACTGCCTGGCTTCCCCCCCCCCCCCAGGCCAGTCTTGAACTTACTCTATAGCCCAGGCAGGCTCTAATTTGACCCTGCGCTCCTCCTGCCCAGCTTCCTTCCTACAGAGCAGAAATCACAGGCCTGACTTCAGTTGTTCTTCTTACAGAAAACCCTGACTGCAACTTCACCTTGTCCTCCAGATTACCCACCACAGTCCTGTGCTGTTGTAATCCAGTCGTTCTTACGCCCACTTCAACTTTGCTTCTTAGCTGACTGTTCTCGTATGTGAAAACACTCAATGTGTGCACAAACACACAAGACAGTTTAGTGGGTAAGGGTGTGGCACTCCCTGGAGCTATGGTTTGGAATGGGGTTACAGTTTGTTCCCAGTTTGTCTGACTCCATGGAGAAGGAGAAAGCGAATGGCGTACACTTTCGGCAGTGCCAACAGGAAAAGAGACACAGAGCAAGCGATACTGCTGGTGACAGCGTCTATAATCTCCATTTCCATCTTGTTCACCCACACACCCGGGGCACCAGCCTGAGAGACACATTTCTCATTTACTACTTCAAAACCTTTGACTCTTCAATCCAGGATGTTTAGCACCAAAATGCCTTCTGCAGTCTGGTCCTACTGGGACTTGGGACTCCCCAAGTTCTTCCCTCCCTTCTCTCTTCCAAATGGAAACATTCCAAGCCAGCCAGAGGAACTGTTATGACTGGATACTGACCTTTGGAGCTACAGTGTTTCTGTCCCTGCCATGGCATCTGTGGAAGCCTGTCTAGGATTGTCCCTTTAGAATGAACTGGTACATAGAAATGTCCACTAGATGGTACTCGCTGATCTGCAGCAGGGAGCCACCAAGCTGCTCCAGGACTTGAGATGGTGTATAAGTTCAGCCCACTTTAACCTCATTAGCCACTCTCCCTGTGGCTAATGCCTCTGCCCACCAAGCCTCCCTCAGAAAGCACTGATCCTCTCCCCCAGAGGGTCTGTTCTGGGCTTCAGCCAAACCCCAGGCTGATACTCACTGGTTCTTCTCCAGCTCAAGCAGGAGATCCTGGCCTTCAGCTTCTAAAGCCACCAACACCACATCCGGCTTCACAATCTGACCAAGAAGGAATGCAGTGACACACTAGGCTCTGGGCCACCTGCCTGCCAGGGGACAGGAAGGATGTTCTAGAGCTGGCTAGAGAGAAGCTCATAGGAACGACAGGTCCCTGCTTTGCAAAGAGTGAGCCAGTGTGGGGGTGGTAACTCAAAGACGTTCCCAGCGCTTGTGATTACAACAATGGCCCCTTACAGATGCATGAACAGCCTGCCAGGAGCTCCTGGGCCTTTTTCTTGGTCGGCCCTCTTCTTTTGCTCCTAGAAAGGGTTTGAAAAACAGTGGGCGGGGCCGGAGAGATGGCTCAGAGGTTAAGAGCATTCATTGCCTGCTCTTCCAAAGGTCCTGAGTTCAATTCCCAGCAACCACATGGTGGCTCACAACCATCTGTGATGGGGTCTGGTGCCCTCTTCTGGCCTGCAGGCATACACACAGACAGAATATTGTATACATAATAAATAAATAGATATTCTTTAAAAAAAAAAAAAAGAAAAACAGTGGGCACTAAAGGTATCATGACTGGATGGGCTGCGGCTTCAGCCATGCAGGTACTGCCTGCCTGAGAGCTTGCTCTGTTTGCTTGCCGGTTTGTTTTGGGTGCTGCAGTTCAAACCCAGGCTCTTGCGTATGCTACACAAGCCAAGCACTGAGCTTTGTTCCCAGCTCCTTGTTATTCATCTTGCTGCCTTCCCCGCCTTCCTGATGGAACCCAGACTTTTTCCCTCCACCTCCAATTCCGGCACAGTGCCTGGTCCTCTAAAATTCCATGTGGACTCCAGGCTGGTCTCACAACTGAGCTCAGAAAATAAACACGAGGTCCCAACTTAGGCACCCCCAAGAGTGTCGACTCTCTCAGCTAGATGTCAGGAGAGCTGGCCTTGGCCCTCTAGGCCACCTCTCCTCTCTCCCTGACTTTGCCTTCTTTCCTGCTGTCCACTCGGCCTGGCTAGAAGCCAGAACTGGAACCAGCCCAGGAGATTCCAGGGAAGAGGCTGCTGTACTTTTTAAAAATGCTTTCCCCACCCTTGTTGGCTCTCCCTTTTTATCCCAAAATGCACCGGGCTGGGACCCTGGCCAAGAGTCATGCAGGGGAGCCCTTCCCCAGCAGGTGTAGAGTGCATGGCTCTCACTTCCCCGGTCATAGGCCCCTCAAGGGTCCAAACATAAGCTTATATGGTTGGAATGCTTCTTGATTTATAAGCAAACATTTGCTCTGGGAGAAAGGGAGTAGCCCCGATGGGAGGTCCCTGTCCCTCCGCAGCCCTTGCTGCCTTCACTTCTGTTCCAGTGTTCATCCCCCCCTCTTCTGCGCCTCAGTCCCACCCTGCAGTATGATCCTGTTTGTGAAACAGACACACTGCTGGCGTTCCCCCTGCCCTCACAGGATTCCTAATGCAAAGCAGAGCCCTCTGGGATTCTCCACTCAGCCACAGGCCAAGCCAGGCAAGGAGAGAGGCCACAGTCAGGGCGACCCTGGTGTGCGTCCAGTCCTCCCTTCCACAAGTCAGCTTTGTTTGGCTACTTGAGAGAAATCCCAGAGGTCTGGGGGATCCCAGGGAAGGCCCTAAGTTGGAAGGTTTGAACTTCTGGGAACCCATAGACATTGTGGAAATGCTTTCTTGGGTTTGGACAGTGGCGCTGCCCTCTCTTGCCTGGAAATACAGAATCAAACTCTCTAGCTTGAGTAGTAGGGAGGAATGAGGAAGGTAGCCAATTGTCTGAAGTCGTTTAGATCATAGGAGGCCTCAGACTTCTGGAACCAATGAGCTATGAGAGCATGAGCAATTTCACAAGCCATCTGGAGCTCAGTGTGGCCTCTCAGTTTGCAGCGTAGCTATAATGGCGCACACAGCTGGGGCGTGACTATACTGGGGAGAATGTGATGGGCAGGAGTAGAGAGGAGGCTGGGCAGTGTCCTGGAGAAGCAAAACGGAGTGGGCTTTCATCTGGAGATAGCAGGGAAATGGACCACTGCTTCCTTGCCACAGGTGAATTCCAGCCACGGAAGCTGAGATTACAGGACAGCAATGTGTTCGCAGAGCCACATGTTCCCCACAAACGTGGCCAGAGGAGGATGTTCTGTGTTCTTCCTTTAAAAGCTTCTGAAGTTGGCGTGATGGCTCACAACTTGAAGCCCACCAGAGCTACGTAGTGAGACCCTGTCTCAAACCAAGCACAACAGAACAGAACAGAACACACACACACAAAGCATCTCCTGAAAGGCTTCCAGCCCCAGACTCTGAACTCATGTCTGCCTAGTTGAGTGGGGAGAGCTTGGATGTTCCCCAGTGGAGGAGAGGGTTAGGGCCAGGAATAGAAGGGATAGGAGGGAGGAAGCTCAAAATGACCTCCATGTGTGCGGGCTCACGCCATCTAGATGTCTCCCTGTCCCACCCTGCCTGACAGGGAGTGGCTTAAGGGTATAGTGATTTGGTTCTGAGAAGCCCAGAAAAACCATCACACTGCATTTTGGAGAAAGACAAAGGGACTGAGGCCCAGGGTTATAGATACTGACCGGCTCCTCCAGGGTGACTTTGAGCCAGAGTCCTCCATCTAGGATCCAGTGGGGAGTAACGGGCTCTCCAGGGACATTTTCTGGTGTCAAGACAGAGAATAGAATCAGAGCAGGTAGGAGCAGGAAGCCAGCAGGGAAGGTGAAGCCCGGAAACCCAGGCTCCATATGCAGCATTCCCGGGCTTGGTGTTCATAGGGCATCCCTAGAATGGAGCAGCGGCCAAGGAGGTGGCAAAAGAGAAACTAAGGCACCAAGAACATTCCCATTGAGGGATCTGAGAGTGGCCAGACCTTGGGGAGCTGGCTCAGAGTCAGAGAGCATGAGAAGAAGCCCAGACCCCAGCGCAGAAGGGGTGGGAAGGAGGAGGCAGCCTCCTCTGGTATTTTTAGAATGGACAGCAGATGCCTTCAGGGTGAAGGATGTGTAGCCAGAGGCTGTCTGTCTCCTCTGCCATCTGAGTAAGAAACCACCAGATGTCTTGCTCAGAGCTCCTGTTGGGGTTGATGCTGATGGCGGGACTCTGAGGGACCTGGCCCAGAATCCCCCTGTTTTTATGAGGGGAAAGGGGTTCAGAGCCTCGGTGCTCCTAGGCCAGGCCTTTCCAAGGGGGCTCCAGGAGGATTCCAGAGCCAAGCATTACTCAGAGGGTGCTGGAATGTTCTTCAGGAATGTTCCTACCACCCCTCTCCTATCTGGTCCCAGCCACCCTCACAGGGCCTATCCTGCAGAGCCAGGCTCTGGCTGCCAGAACCAGCAGGGAGCCTTCTCAGTCCTCCAGCAAGCCCAGCTCATAGAAAAACAAAGCCCAAAAGAACCCCACCCACCACCAGCTCTGACCTCTGCCCTGCCCAGGCTGAGAGCTATCTCTGAGGTTGACTCTACTCTTTCTGAATCATCCCAATCATTTTCCTCTCCCATCTCCCCTCAAAAGTCTGGAACAGAAGCTGGATAGGTGGTTGAGTGGTTAAGGCTGCTCTTCCAGAGAACAGGCTTCAGTTCTCCGCACCTGTAACTCCAGGTCCAGCACTCTGTCCTTCTCTACCAGCCCCCAGGTAGACCTGGTACCTCCATGGTACACAGATGCACATGCAGGCAAAATACATGCACACATTTTAAAAATCTGGGATAGCAGCAGCTCCAGGAAGCCCCTCCGTGAAGCCCAGGTGCTTCTTAATTAATGAACCATCATTAATTAAGAGGGTGTGGCTTTGGAATGGAGGCTGAAGAAGAAAGGAGGGGAGGAGAGGGAAGGGACAGAGACACCTTCCTGGAGGTAAAAGAGCTCTTAGTCAAGAGAAGGCTCGATTGGGTATGGAGAACCACGTCTTGGTGGCTCAGGTCACCAAGGGTGCAGGATATAGGCGTTCTCTGTGCAGTCCTGCAGGGACACCTTCAGGAAGGAGGCAAGGACGGAGCTAGGAGTCTGAGTGGATTAAAGTGGAATCTGAGGATGCCAGTCTGGGTTGGGGAACACAGAGGCGGTTTCTCTTATGAGGTCCATCATTACCTATCCCCTGGCTAAAGGCAGTATAGCTCTCGTTCATCCCTTTCAGAACTGTAACGGAGCTGAGTCCCTAGGTATCGGGTCGCCTCCAGGCTGCCCATCAACCAGTTCACAGTCCTTCCCATCTCCTTCCTGGTGCCTCCTCTGCCTTCGGGACAGCCGTGTGCTTGCTGTATGGATTTTGGAGACTAAGGGCCCTGTCCATATCAGAGTGAGGGGAGGTTACAGTAGGAAGAGAGAGCGGCAGTCCCCAGGCACTGCTAGGCACACACCCCGTTTGAAGAACAGCCACATAAGGCACCGGTATAAACACCATATACGTTGCCTAGACCCAAGACAAGGGGAGAATGGAGCCTGATGGAACAGCTAAGTCCATGGGCAGGGCACAACGCCGAGGACCCCGAGGATCAGTCCTTCCTGGAAGAGGAAGACTCTCTGACCTAAAATAGTCTGGAGATGCAGAAGCCTCGGAGCAGAGCTAGGAGCTGGGCAGCACTGAAGGGGGGATAGAGTCAGCCCAGAATCCCCTTCCCATGTCCTTTCCTGGACAGGTAGTACAGGGTCTCAAACTCTCTGTTCCACTAGTTGCTCTGGAACCCATGACCACCACCACTTCACCTGCCCTAGAGGCGCTCCCGGCTCGCACCCTCACCTGGAAACATCAAGGCGCTCCTCAGGGGACACGCGGAAAGTAACAGCTGCAGCAACAGCAGCACGGGAGACCCCCCGGATCTCCCGCACTCCGGACCCATGGCTGGGAGTGCCTTTGCCTCCCTCTCAGGCTCGGCTATTGGCTCCACCCCGGCTGCAGGGGGCCCGCCTCCTCCCTTTCTCAGCCTGCCTCGCGCCACTTCGCAGGACCCTGTCTGTCCATACCCTGGTCCGCGGGACCTGAGCTCGAGCTGCGGGAGCTCGGGCGACCCTCACTGGCGGCAGCGGTAATAATCCTACCTAGGCTTGCAGAGGGAGAGGAGCGAGGGAGGGAATGGTCGCGGAAAGTTCTTAGAGAACCTCTTCCTGTGTTGAGCAGAGGCACTGGCTGCGGAACCCCCCCCCCCCCCCCCCCCCCGCAGCAGCTGTCAGGTCTGCCCAGGGCGCGTCTCCGGTCCTGGTCTCCCGAGTGACCTCTGGACCTGCCTTTTTACCTGCCCTGCGCGAGGACTCCTCCAAGGATCTGTCTACCCGGGCTTAGTGACGCCTGCAGTGAATCCTTCGGAGGTAGCTGTCCCCTGCCGCCCAGGAGCTCGTGAGTACCTAGGGGCCTTGTGGAGGCCGCGGTGCTGGAGATTGTGGTTTCTGGAAAAGGCGATGGTGGTGGGTGCAGGGGACCGGCAGCGATGGCCAGGGTAGAATTGTACAGTGCCGCAGATTCCCCAGGCGTGAGGAATCCTCCAAATTTTAGGGGACATTGCTTTCGTGTTGTAAAGTACACTTCGTGATGCATTTGGATAGCAAAAGATTTATCTTTGAAATAAACTGGTTAATAGTTTGGCTGTGAGAATTTGGAATGTAAAAGTTCTGATGACAGAGAAAACTACGTATACAGAATTCAAACATCAAACAGTATCAGGCAATGGGGCCCTCTTGGATCAAGACAGGACACTCAAGACTGCCAGCCTGGGCAATAGAGATCTCCTGGAAGGGAAAGGGGAGAGAGAGAGAGAGAGAGAGAGAGAGAGAGAGAGAGAGAGAGAGAGAGAGAGACAGAGAGAGAGACAGAGAGAGAGAGACAGAGAGAGACAGAGAGAGACAGAGAGAGACAGAGAGAGACAGAGAGAGAGACAGAGAGAGAGACAGAGAGACAGAGACAGAGAGAGGCTCCAGCATCACATAAACTGGGTATGGCAGCACACACCTGTAATCCCAACAGGTGGAGGCAGAGGACAAGTTCAAAATCACCCTCTGCTACAGAAAACTGAGTGAGATCGGCCTGAACTGGAGAGGGTGGGCTCTGTCACCAGGGAGATGGCTTAGTGAGCAAAGGGCCCTGCTGTGCTATTTGAGCTCAGGTCTCCAGCAGCTGCAGAATGGGGCACACGCCTTTAAGACAAGTGCTGGACATTACAGAGACAGGCAAATTGTTGAGCTCCAGGTTCAGTAAGAGACCCTATCTCAAAATTATGATGGAGAGTAACATAGGGAGATACCCAAAGTCACCCACACATACATGTATAGGATGATTGTACCCCCTACAGAGATACATATGCATACATACAAAGGTGAGCATCCACACATGCACACACAGGTTAATGTACCCCCTACACAGATACATGCACAAACATATAAAGGTGAGGGGAGACTGAAAGATAAGCGAGCCATGATTCACGCCTGTAATTCCAACACTCCAGGGGCAGCTCGAGCTACACAGCAAGACCCTGCCTCAGAAACCAAACCCCAAAGCATAAAATGCTTAGGAAAGAATTCCTATCTCTTCGGTCTCCATCCTTTCGATTCTCGTTTCCCACGGGAAGCCACTGCTACTGGTTTCTTACGTAAGTTGTTTTAGATACAGAGTTGTTATAGACAGACAGACAGAGAGATAGCATAGTCATTCACATTCGTAGCCTGTTTTTCTAGCGAATGGTTAGTCCTCCTTTTAACAATCTGAGGGACCTCTGTGCATGAAGGAGATTCGCCTTTGCCTGGAGTGTGGATTGCGTTTTCCCAGCCCATGAGTTTTGCCCAGCCGATTGCCTGTGCCTTTAGTTCATTTGTTCTTGTAGATGCGCGGCTTTCAACTGTATCATTATAATCACATTTTTCATAAATTCTGCTGCCACCAGACAGTCCGTAGGTCTGAATTTGAGACTGTAACAAAGAGATTACAGGGGCGTTTGTGTGCATGTGTCCTTGGCGTCCTCCCTGGCCTGTTCCCCTTCTTTATCTGTCTGCCTGGGAACACATCCTTAGGAAGTCATTTGTCTGTGAATCCTCGCCTTGGGTAACAATATGGCTTTGGTCATGTTGGGGGCTCCAGTGCAACAGGTGGGGAGGCTGCATGTCCTTTCCCCGTGAATGAGTAAGAGGGGTCACCAGAAATACTGATGGTGGCAGAGGCTATTCTTCCACCGAATTCCCTGTTCCTTCTGCAGGTTGAGCCTGGGGAGCGGAGGGATACGATGGAGGCATCTGTCATATCCAGATTCGCTCGGATGCCTCTTCCCTCATGCTGGAAGGATTTGAGAAAGTTAGTATTAGTTGTTGATGACAGAATCTAGGATCACCTGAGAGAGAGAGAGAGAGAGAGAGAGAGAGAGAGAGAGAGAGAGAGAGAGAGAGAGAGAGAGAGGTTTCTGGCCAAGCCTGGGGAGAATTATCTTGATTGTTTGATTGAAGTGAGAATACCCGTCCACTGTGGGTGATACCATTCCCTAGGCAGGTGCCATCTGACAGACTTGGTTGATGACTCTAGGCAGCTTCAGCCTAAAACAAGCTGAGGGTAGGGAAGTGGAGCAAAGCCCCCGTGTAGACCTTCAGGCTGTGTGGGGAATCCTCTACACATAGCCTGAAGTAAGCAAACACAGAGGGGCCGAGAAGAGGGCAGGCCCTTCAAAGGGCACCATGGCTCCTACAGTCAAGGGGAAAGCCACTGCAGCTGCAGTGTGTGCCTTTGCCGTCAAGTTCGGAAGCTCTCCCTGATTACCAAAGCCAGGTTATTATCCCTGCGTGGTACCTCTTACTGTGGCACGTTTCACACGGCTTCCTAGTTGCCGGTTTCCTCTTCCACCAGACCGAAAGCACCATGATGGCTGGGAATTCATTTGCTGTACATCCTGGTACGGGACCTGGCCCAGCCGAAATGAACAAGACGAGGAAGGCCATTGACATTGCTCTTGGCTGCCTCACAGCTAGACGGTGAGACTCTCGCTGAATATACACTGGTTGCAGCACATTCATGAATCAAGCTGGAACTGACCTCATGGCTGACCTTCACAGTGCCAGAAGGTGCTATGCAGGTGAATGCTACAAGAATGAGCTGCCAGGTAAGATGTGCCCAAAGGTGCAATAGTGACATGAAGGTTATGGGAACAACCAACCGCTTTCTGATTAGCTCTGAGCCTGCTCCACAGGGGAGAATCTATGCCTGGTACTATAAATCAGGTCAAAAGCCCATGGCTCCGGAGGTCATAGACCCTGGAGGGAGCCTGTTACTGTTGTTCTGCTACATGGGACGTGTCGAACAGCTTCCTAAACATTTGTTTATACCCGTAGGTTAATGCTGCTCTCTCCTTGACCAGAGAGCTGCAGTGGGCGACAATTACTGCAGAGTCAAAACAGCTGAAAATAACAGACTGTTGAGTGCTTGGCCCTAAGTAGGACGTCTGTATCAATTCTCCAAAGGCTCAGGGGACATCAGGGAAGGGGGACAGGGAGAATATATAGGTGCTGGAGGACGAGGAGGATTACTATAAGCTGCTGTGTCCTGCACATGATATGACCATTGCAATCAAGGACGCATAGCAGCGGTGGCTGGCTGCACAAGACCAAGCCAGCAAGAGCAGTCACCGTTCCAACAGGCAGCACTAATTGGACTCTGGGTTATAAAAATATATAATAAATAAATGAGCGGACGTGAAGTTGGGAGGGGGATATATTGGAGGGTATCTGGTCGGGGGACTGGGAGGGGACACTTAGGAATGAGTATGATCAAGATACGGTGTGCATGTAAAATTGTCAAAGACACTCAAAGTAAAATAAAAATATGAAGTAAAACTGACCATATGTGATGGTGCACACCTTTAATCGCAGCCCTTGTGAGGTAGAGGCAGATGGGTCTCTATGAATTTAAGTCAGTTTGGTCTACAGAGAGTTCCAGACCTGCTAGGGCTACATAGTGAGGCCCTATCTCAAAAATAAACAAGAGGGCTGTAGCCTCTGAGCCATGCGGAGATCATTTATTCTTTCAAAGCTCTGTCTCCTAAACCCAGAGAAGTTTCCAGACATGTCAGGGTCGTTTGTGCCAAACTCTCTAAACAACCACAAACTTACACTCTGCGGTTGCATTTGGAAGGGGAACAGTGGATCAAAGCCGAGGGAGGTGGAGCCCAGAACATCATGGAACAAATGATTTATCAAATATTTGTTGGTGTCGTCCTGAAAACTGTGCCAGTGCTCAGAATGGGCACCTCTCACCACCTCCAAATGAGTCTTAGCCTGCGATAGCCCAGAGCCTGGTGTCTGAATCCCAGCTTACAGACAAGGTCCAGGGTGGTGCCTGGAGATGCCAGGCTGGTGCTCAGATGTTTCAGAAACAGTGATGGGTATGCATAGAACTCCCCAAAGTCACAGTCGAGTCTCCATCCCTGAAAGCCCAGAACACCCAAAAAGAATTTGTTCTTTGGCAGGGTGAACCGAGTGCTTAGAAACCCAAGAAATTAGTCAGAATTTGGACAAGCAACTCAGGGATCTGGATATCCAATATAAAAGGAGGGATATTTTGTTCTCTTTCCTTCCTTCCTATTTCTTATTTATTATTTTGTGGTGGTGGTGTTGAGACAGGTCTCATTATGTAGACCAGTCTGGCCTGCCTCTGCCTCCTGAGTGCTGGTATTAAAGGCGTGCACCTCCACACCTGATCTGTTCTGCTTTTAAGAGATGAGGTTTTGCTGTGTTGCCCACCTGATCTCAGTCTCATGGGTTCAAGGGATTCTCCCACCTCAGCCCAGAGAGGCTGGGGCTGCAGGTTCACAACACAACACCCAGGAATAGTGGCAGATTATTTTTAAATAAACTTTCTTGCCCAAATATATATTCAGAAAATGAGCGGCTCAGCAAATCTTCACAAAATGAATGCACTCATTTAACCTGCTCCAGAAGCCCCTTTCGCCCATCAGTAGCCACTGTATTGGCTTCTATATTGCTTAGCTCTGCCTGTTCTTGGTCTCCTTGATTAGGTTTAGAGTCACCTAGGAGACACACCTCAGGGCACGTCAGTCAGAATGTTTCCGGACCGGAAGACCCACCCCGAATGTGGGCAGCAGCCACTGATGGGCTGGTGTCCTAGACAGGGTAGGGAGCCAATGGGACTGTCACTGGTCTTGCTCTGCTTCCTTACTGACACAGTGTGACCAGCTGCCTCCTGCTCCACCTCCCCCCCACCAGGTATATGATGGAGGTGGGTCTTGTAATAATAAAGAAACTGCCTCGGCCCTCATAGGACAGAAAATTAGGTAGGCGGAGTATACAGAAGAGAATTCTGGGAAAAAGAAGCTGAGTAAGAGTCGCCATGATTCTCCCACGCCAGACAGATGCAGGTTAAGATCCTCCCTGGTAAGCCAGCTCGTGGGCTACATAGAATATTAGAAATGGGTTAGAACAATATGTAAGAGCTAACCAATAAGAAGCTGGAACTAGCCGGGCCAGGCACTGTTTGAAAGAATACAGTTTCCGTGTAATTATTTCGGGGCATAAGCTAGCCATGCGGGCGGCCGGGTGCCGGGGACGCAGCCCTGCCGCTCCTATTTCAACAGATGGCGCCCAACGTGGGGCTAAATCCACTTAAAAACCTGAGAAGGCTTAAAAATAAGGGAAACAGAGTTTAACACAGATTTTTGCTGTTTTGTTGGTGACATGCTGTAGAGAGATTCCTGATTCAGCAACAGCAGCAGAGAAAAAAAGCTGCGTCATTTTAAAGCGCGGCTTCCTGGTGCTATGCTGCCAGCGTGAACTCTGGCTTTAAAGCATTTCAAGGCTTTTATGGGACTGGATGTTTCTGTTCCCACTTGGGATCGGAGGAGATTGCTCTGAGACCTGCCGATGGCTCAGCGTTCCCTGCCTACACCTGGGCAGATGGCGGAATCAGGCTTAGGCAGGCGGAAGAGCATGGCGGATTCCTGCTGCCATACAGAGACGCGTTTTCAGACTGCGCAGTGCTCTGCGTGTCAGATTTGGCTGTAACTTGGATAAAAAGAGTTTCTGTGCTGCACACTCAGTCTCAAAATTAAATTGCTGATTGCGGCTCCAATGTAAACTGCTGTTTGCCTGTAACTGTGCTCAGCTCAAAAGCACCAAATGACTCTGAGGCAGGAGCGGCTGCTCCTTGCTGAACTGTGCTGATCTCAGGCAGGAACTACCGTAATTACCTTAAAACCGTGCAGTTAAGGTTTAGACTGGGCAGGACACAGGCAGTACCGTATTACCTATACATGGTGCAACTTAAGTTTTTAAGAAATGCTTAACATTTTAAGAAATGCTCCTGGATAATAAAAAAAAAAATACAGATTCACAGTAAAACAGATTCAGACACCGTTGGATGAATGTACGTAGGCTTGGGGAAAAAAAGAGAATATAAAGAATAAAGTTAATGTCTTAAAAAGAAAAAGGGTAAAGTCTTTAAAGAGACAGAGTACAGAAGTACAGATAGTTATAGATTAAGAGAAATAAAGAAAAATAAGCCACGTAAAAATGAAAAATTCACAGAGAGTCTGGATTATGTACATTGTGTTTTCTTTAAAATTTTTGACTGTGAAGGAGCTAAGTACAAAGAGACATTTTATTATATGGGCTGCTAAGCTGAACCTGCACATATGTTCTAAAGGTATCTTGACTTCAAAATTTGGATCTAAGGATATGATGCTTTGGAGAGGGTCTTCTTTTGTTTCCACAGAGGATGTGACCCTATGGATTGCATCTATCCCGGTATGGTATGATAGACCACGCCCTCCTGAAAGGTTGCTGTGAACACCCTCAAAAAATTACTTCACTCAACTGCCAACCGAGATGAACCTGACACACAGGTTACACCCTAAATGATCTGATTAACAGTGCCCCCATTCAGCAGGAAGCAGTTTGGAGAGAAAAAACTACGCCCATGTTCCCAAATATTGTTTATAAATGTTCTTTTACATTTAAAGGGGGATATGATATAGATATGAATAATTTGCATTGGTATGGATTTTAAGGTCAATTTTGTTATATGTATATGTATTTTTGAACTTGATTAAGGTATTGTGATTATGTAGTTCACTTAAAATGTAATGTATAATTAGGAAATATAGGTTGTTAATGGATAATCATTGCTAATAGTTAAGCTTGTAGTCATGTTAGTTAGATTTTCTAGATATATAGAGATATATTTCAATTAGATAGGCATTCTTCATATCTTTCAAAGACTGCAGAATATGGCATTTAAAATATTTTAATAACTTAGGACTTTTCATGACAAGGAGACACGTCTGCTCCTGGCAGCACCAGCTACTTCAAGAGGAAGATGGGCATCGAAGAGGATCCTTATGGAGTTGGATAGTCATTTGGGCAAGAAACTGCTCTTGCCTGGACTGTTGCATAAACTGGACACAGAGAACCCTCAGAGAGAGGACTGCTGAACTTGCCTAAAGGTGAGATGGTCTTTCGGGGTTCCTGATTCATGAAAGAGTCTACAAGACATTCTACAGAACACAGCAGAAAGTGACTGAACTGTCTTTAAAATTTCCTGCTTCATGGAAATGTATCTGGATACCATGGGCCTGTAGGCCGAAGATGGATGCCCCAACGGTACAGAGGAACTTTGGGTGACTGTCCAGGCAGCGAGATGTCTCTGTCATTTCTAGAGTTTTCTTATTTCTTGTTTACTTAGATAATATTATATCCTTCTGGAGTCTTTGATGGAGTTGAAGAATAAATAGTTATAGTTTTCCTTAGTTATGATAAGAGATAAAATAGATATAAATATTGTAACTGTAATTCTTACTTGATAACTGTTTTGTTATATGTAATTTTACTATGCTAAAGTTAAAGCCTTTCTTTTTTGTTTAAACGGAAAAAGGGGAAATGATGTGGGAATGATTTCTTACTAATAAAGAAACTGCCTTGGCCCATTTTATTGGATAGAAAATTAGGTAGGCGGAGTATACAGAAGAGAATTCTGGGAGAAAGAAGGTTAGAGGAGGAGTCGCCATGATGCTCCCACTCCAGACAGATGCAGGTTAAGATCCTCTCTGGTAAGCCAGCTCATGGGCTACACAGAATATTAGAAATGGGTTAGAACAATATGTAAGAGCTAGCCAATAAGAAACTGGACCTAGCCGGGCCAGGCAGTGTTTGAAAGAATACAATTTCCATGTAATTATTTCTGGGTATAAACTAGCCATGCGGGCGGCGGGGTGCTGGGGACGCAGCCCCGCCGTCCCTATTTCAACAGGTATAGCCACTTCTACTGTCACCTTCCCCACAAAGGCGAGACTGTACCTCCTAACTGTGAGCCAAGAAAGAAAATTTTTCCTTCCTAGGTTGCATTTGTCTGATGCTTGGATGCAACAGTGAGAAAAGGAGCTACTCTACACAGCCTGGCCCTAGCTGCCAGCCCCTCCCACGGAACATTTGAAGCTCGTACTCATGTGGTCACCTTCAAGTACAGCCTCTCATATCTGTGTGGACGCGGTACAGTCTGTCACCTGCAGGCACAGCTTCTATGTCTGTGTGGACACGGTACAGTCTGTCACTTGCAGGTACAGTGTCTCATGTCTGTGTGGACATGGTACAATCTGTCACCTGCAGATACAGCTTCTCATATCTGTGTGGACACGGTACAGTCTGCCACCTGTTTCTCATATCTGTGTGGACACGGTACAGTCTGTCACCTGCTTCTCATATCTGTGTGGACACGGTACAGTCTGCCACCTGCTTCTCATGTCTGTGTGGACACGGTACAGTCTGCCACCTGCAGGTACAGTGCCTCATATCTGTGGACATGGTACAATCTGCTGAGCCTTCTCACTGATGTTGTGTATTTAGTATTTCAGGTTCTGGCTATGATGGATAATGTTGTTATGAACATTCTAGTACAGATCTCAGGGTGACATAAGCCCTTACTTTTCCTGAGTAAATAAATGCCCAAGAATAGAATGTCAGGGTCAAGGAAAGAATATTTTACCCTTAATGGACATTGGCAAATCATTTCACAAAGTTGTCATGTTTAAAGTATGATGCTAAAAATAAAAATTAAAAAATAAATTATGATGCCACTTTATAAAGATCACAGGAAAAATCAAATCCATGGCATTAGAAGTCAAGCTAGTAGCTACACTTTGGGGGGTTGGGTGTGGGGTATTCTGGGGTGCTGGTGTTTCTATTTCTTGATCTGATGTGGATTACATGGATGTGTTCCATTTGAAAACGCTATTGAGCTGACACACTTACCATGTGATGATGTTTGAATTTCAGGTTTATTTCAGAAGTCTAAGGGCTTCAGACCACTAAGGATTGAGCCAACTAGCCTCTCTGAGCATTCTTCAACACACCCCCTTGGGAGGATGTGCGAGCCAACAAAGACCCAAGACACATGTTCCCAAACCCGCGGTGCCCATCACCCTTTGGTCATCCCTGCTAGCCTGGAACATCTTCCTGCCCTAGGTTTGTGCTCTCCTTGTCCTGCCTCTTGGTTAAAGCTGGCTTTTTTGTCCTACTCAACAAAATTGTAGAAGAAACAATGTCACAAGACATATGCTGAACCTGTGCTGGTCCTTAGGAGTGAGAAGCCCATTATAGGAGCTACGAGGAGTAGGAAGGGACACAATGACTTCAGCAGACGGTGTGAAGTGAGCATCCTTGATTTACACTCCCTGGCCTCCTGCCCACAGACGGCGTCTGAGACACTGGACTATTCATTGAATTCTGTGGATTCTCGCCTAGGCACTTTGGTTGCAAGAACAAAACTGACTCCAGTTGAATCCTGGAATGGAAGTTTATTGGAGGAACACACTAGAAAGGTTCCTGGAGAAAAGATGGTATTCAGGCACAAAACCAAAAGGGACTGAGGAGGATCAGGACGTTCAAGGTTATCCATTCCCAGTCATTTAATGAGATTGAAGTCAGTTTGAGCTATGTGAGACCTTGTTGGAGGCAGGGGAGGAAGGAAAGAGAGAAGAAAAAAGTGGTCCTAGAACAAGCCATAGCACCACCTTGGCTACACAGTTACTCCTTTCCTGATCCATTCCCAACTTTCTAGCCCTATTCTGGCCCCACCACTCTCCAGGTTCTCAGCTCCAGGCCCTTTGTTCCTGACACCATCTACTACCAGGCTGTGGCAGGAGTCGCCAGCCCACTGGAGGCCCGGTTCCTCCCATCACTGACCTCCCAGGACACTTCATTCCTTCCTGGTGATAATCATTTGTTTCAACAGACTCTGGAGCATGGGCATCCAGGAAATGAACAACTGTTCACTTTGCCATGGAGAGAAATCCTTGTTCATATTTGAACAGGTAACACCCCTGTCTGCTCCTTGCTCTTGGAAGAGCTGGTACAGCTGTAGGGTTGGGAGGGACCACACCCTGTACAGAGATGTCTGCCTGGCATGCCCTTGCCCTACTGAGTGTGATGGTTTGAATGAGAATGGCCCCCATAAGCCCAGGTGTTTGAATGCTTTGTCCCTGGTTGATGAACTGTTTGGGAAGGATTAGGAGGTGTGGCCTTGTTGGGGTAGGTGTGTCTCTGGGGGTAGGCTCTGAGATTTCAAAGGTCCACGCCAGCCAGGGGTTTCTCTCTCTCTCTCTCTCTCTCTCTCTCTCTCTCTCTCTCTCTCTCTCTCTCTCTCTCCTGCTGCCTGGACTATAAAGCTCTCAGCTCTTACTCTGGTGCCACAACTGTCTGCTTCCCACCATGATGGTCATGGGCTAACCCTCTAAAACTGTAAGCAAGGCCCCAGCTGAATACATTCTTTTCTAAGAGTTATCTTGGTCATGGTGTCTCTTTACAGCAAAAGAACAGTAACTAAGACACTTGGGACCACCAGGCCTAGGTTTCTTGTTTTATCATACAGGAGGGAAAGCCTTCCAGGAAACTCAGAACCAGAGTGGCCAGGGACACTGAGTCAGAGCCAAGCGTGAGGAAGGCAGTCTCTTCAATATCAAAAGTCCTAGGGCTGAGTCCACAGTTGGGATCTTTCAGAAATACAGGTTCCAAATGCAGTCAAGACTCAGAATAAAGAGGACATTTCCCAGTCTCCCTCCCAGCACGGTGTGTCTATGTGACCAAGTTCTAGCTGCTGAGGAGTGGGTAGAACTGACAACCATACTTTCCAGTTCTACAGACCGTGGGGACAGGCGTGCCCTTCACTCCTCTCTTCCTTCTCACTGTAGGGCCAAGCTCACTGCAGTCACCTGAGCCTCATAATCAAAGACAACATTTGGGTGATGGAGAAAAAGCAAGAGAGAAGGATTCTAAGCCCCAATATCTTATTCTTCCATAGCATAACCAGTACAGGAGAGAAAAATAAAATTCTGTCACTCGGAAGTTACTGTATTGTTAAAACAGCCTGACTTATATTCTCTCTGGTACAGAGTATCTTAGCAAATCTGTGAGGACCCGGATGTCATTCTAACCAATCAAGAAAGTCCATGGTGGCCTTTGAAAAGAAAGAGGCAAAGGGACACAGAGGGAAACTTCACAGAGAGACGTGGGCAACATGGCTGACTCAGTCTCAGAGCCCTGGAGGCAGCCACTTGGCCTCCATTCCACCTCTCCATCGCTTTTCTTAGGAACGAGAGGCTTGGAAGCAGGTCTTGGGAAGTCAGATGTTACCGTGCTGCTGGTGCAGACATAGGCAGGACTTTGATCACAACACCTGAGTTGTCAGACAGCGTCAACCACCTCCTCCTGAGGGCAGGTAAGTCACCCATCAGCTCAGGGATGTGACACAAGATGATGTTTCATGTGTGGATGTATCCAGTCCTAGGAGCTTCCCATAAAGAAAACCTGAGTCACAGGAGGTCCCACACTGACCTGTGGTCCTAGGAAGAGGTCATCTGCAGAAGAGGAATACGCTAGGGGAGAGAAGATGGCCTTTCTCTCCTGCCTATCACCTATCAGACGTGAGGAAGAAAGACTTCAAAACAGAGGGGGAGGCACAGGAAATGCCTTGGTAAGGCCACCCGTGCCAACGAATCATGCACCCAGCAAACACATAGCTGCTCTGAGCCTCAGTCAGAAAAGCTCTCCCAGCTCCCCGAAAGAGACCCAGGCTCCTGTGTGCCTCTCTCAGCCGCCCCTGGTCCCAGTGCTGTCCTAGGAATGGGAACGCTGTCCAGATGCCAGATGGCACTGCACACCTACGCATGCCCACATATGGATATACCTGCAGAGTGTCTTTATGGGTGGTCATCTCGGCTGAGTTCTCGTTCACGTTCATCTTATGAGAATGCCTCCTTCTGCATGGGCAAGGGCAGACTCAGTCAGAGTCCCTCCCCACAGCTTCCCCCGCCTCCCCCACTGCAGGGGGCAATAGCCCTGCGCAGTGTGGGACACCTTGTTTGCCTCCTCCCCAGCTCCTTCTGGGGAGAAACAAGCAAAGGAAAGCTACTGCAAGATAAACTGGAGAGGTGATTCCCCAAATTTGGAGAGGGCAGGAAAAGGGGAATTTGAGGGCTGTGAATTCTGTAGGGGAGAATTTCCCTCCAAAGATTTGGGGGACAATGGAGGGAATGGGGTGAGCAGAATGAAGTATCCCAGCCCCCCCTCCAGCTCTGGACCCACCTCCAGGTGTGCCAGGCTCCCAGGCCCAGCAGCAGGCACAGGAAGCCTGCCAGGAATCCCAGGACCCAGAGCAGCCGCTGGAACAGCTGCAGCCGGTGCAGAGCTGTAATATAAGGAGGAAGCTGAGGAGCTCTCCGGGCTCCAGGCCCCCATCCCTCCCTCCTGAGGCGACCCAACCATAGTAGAACTGACTTTAACTTGCACTTCACCTCCAAGTCCCGTGCAAGAGAGCCCCCACGCAATCTGTTTAGACTAGACAGACAAGTTGCCTAGTGGCAGAAGGCTGAGCAGGGAGTGCGAATCTTGTGCAGAGTGATCCCAGCGGTTGGTAGTGCCATTCTCCTCACCTCTGGTCCCAAAGGAGGCTGAGGCTGAGGCAGAGCCCAGGCTGTTGGAGGCAGTGCACACGTACTCCCCCTGAGTGCTGGCTCCGAGTTCCTCTATGTCCAGTCTCAAGGCATTCGGGGAGGCAAAATGAACGTGGGCTTTGGTGGGAACACCCTGAGGTTGGTTGGAGGCTACGAGTTGACTGCCCAGGTGGAGGGTGAGGCTGGCCGGGGGCTCACTGTCCACTCGACAGTCGAGGATGCCCTGGAGGCCACCCTGAGTCTCCTCAAACACCGTCAGAGTGGGCGTCTTGGGAGGATCTGTGGGGAAGAAGAGGATAGTGACTGTCGACACCGACCAAAATTCCTCCCTCAGCTGTGGCCTTGCTGTCCTTCCAGGAAACAGTGAAGATCATTTCCTCACTCCCGAGGCAAAGGTGACTTGAAAGGGAAGGGGAAGGGTGCCTCAGTCAGTAAAGTACTTGCCACATAAACATGAACGTGATCTGAGTTCAATCCCTAGCACTCAGTAAATATCTAGAATCCTAGCACTGTGGAATCACAGTGGAGCGCTGTGGATATCCAAACTTGCTGAACTGATTCCATGGGGGACCTTGTCTCAAAAGATGGGGTGAAGTGTAATAAAGATAGTGGCCTCTACACGCCATGTACATGTGCACAAACGGGTACACACACATACACACACACACACATTTTTAAATGGCATTGTGGGACTTTGGAACTGGATCTCAAGATGTCTTGCAACTTCTCTTCTGCCTCCTGAAACAACCTTGTTTTGGAAAGCTCAAGCCAGCCTGCTGACCATGTATGGCCACCCTGAGGTCACAGGTGAAGCCATCTTAGACTGTTCCATCTCAGCGGAGCCACTAGTTAACTGCAGCCAGGAGACCAGAACTGCCAAGCTGAGCCCTGTCCAGATTTTTAACTCACAGAATTGATACAGCTTGGGCTCAGATGAAGAATGGCCTGAGAAAACCAAGGCTAATGATGGTCTCCTGTGCACCAGGCATTCAACCTGCTTTATCTTCTGTATTTACCCCAAGAGGATAGGATGAATGTGCCCTCTATTTCAAAGGTGGGGAGCGAAAGCATAGATACACAGCCACATACAACCAGCCAGCGGGAATGCTAGTGGTCTAAGATCCCACACCTATCTTCAAAACTCTTACTCTATGCAGGGGAAAAGACCTGATAGAGACAGATGAGACGTGGAGAGACGAGGCAGGTGGGTTCATACTCACAGAGGACACGGAGCATGACAGGAGCAGAGGTAGTGACCCCGGTGGGCAGTTCAGCCTTGCAGTGGTACAGCCCAGCCTGAGCCCGGGACACATGGGTGAAGGAGAGTGTGGGCACAGGCTGTGTATGTAGCGGATGGCGATTCCAGAACCATGTGATGGTAGAGTTGTCCGTGGGCTTGGCGCCACCAGGGAGATGGCAGCTTAGGTTTAGGGCTATGCCCTCTGGCACGTCCAAGCCTGGCTCAGCTGCCACATGTATGTCTGTGGTAGAAGGACAGGTGAAATGATCAAGGACCTGTACATTGTGGGGTGATCTCAATCTATCTTGGGCTCAAGGCCCTCCACAGTGGGGCTGTGTCTCTGGCATAAAAACAATATGATGGCACCGCATTCTGAGGTTCCCATGACAGGGCTGAACCTCCAGCATCAGAAAAGGCCATCTGAAGTGTGAGGCTGTGTCTTGCCCTCAGCCTGGGATTCTCAAAGGCGGGCGTCTGTCTTGTTCCCACCGCAGGCTTCCCCAGTGAAGGGCATGAGAGGTCAGGCTATGTCTCCTCCCACTCCTTCCAGAAGACATTAATACCCTTCCTTACTTCAACGATAGGGCTGCATCATCCCCTCGGCCTGGTCTACCCCTTCCCCGAGGGCCATGCCTCCTCCAGCAGATCAGACTTCTCAGGGAGGAAGTAGTTCATTCATACGCCTTCAGGGTGGCAGGCCCTCACATGGGATCCAGCCCCACAACACCAGAACTCCAAACCCTAGCCCCCTCCTCACCCCTGTCCCACTCACCAGTCTCCCCCGGGAGCTTCTGCGTGGTACTGATGGAGCCCAGGGCATTTCGGGCTGTACAGACATAGACACTGTCATCGCCTCCGGTCACGCCTTGCACCTGCAGTCGAAGAGCATTTCGGGACACCTGGATGTGGCCTGTCCCTGATGCGGAGCTGGGAAGCTCATGGCTGGCAGCTAGCACCTTGCCGTTGTGGGATAGGACCAGCTCAGCAGGTGGTTCGCTGTCCACAGTGCACTGTATCATGACCGTGAGCCTGGCCCTCGAGTCCCGAAAGGAAGACAGGACAGCATCCCGAGGGGCATCTAGAGGTAGGGCAGAACACAGAGGGGGGCCCTGCAGAGACGTGCATGGCTCACTGCCCATTTGCCCAATGTTGGTGAATCTCGTTTCCAGACAAATGTCCCCCTCCTAAAAATTATGCCTTATCAAATGCCTGTGGGCAGAGTCCTTCTTGCAGGGTTCCTAGGGCCGTGATATCTCAGTCTTCATTGCCAATGCCCTCTTTTCCCCCAAGTGCCCATTTCTAGACCGTCTGTAGTGTCATGCCCACCCTAAGCCAGTGCTGGGAGCACCCTCTGCCACCCTCACCCTTGAAAGCCGCAGCCAAGGAACCCTGCTTACAGAGAACTCGCAGGGTGGCAGGTCGGGAGCCGCGTGTGCCCTGAGTGTCATGCACCTGGCAAGAGTAGGCACCGGCGTGAGCCCGCGTAGTCGCCAGAAACTGGAGTGAGGGAGCTGGCCCCTCCTGAAGCCAGCGGCCATTGTGAAACCAGGCATAGAGGGTGGGTGGGAGGGCAGCAGGGTCCTCGCAGGT